CCGAGGGAAGGGGTCGACCCGTCTGACGTCTGACTAAAATCAGATGCATAGAACCACTACACCCTCCCCGGCCCCGTGTTATGCAGTGGAGGATGGGTGATATGAAAGAACAAATGGTGGCTGGTGGTCATGGCAACGAGAACCAGCTGAACCAATTAAGTTATCCAACCGATGTACTAGTAGACAAAATGACGAATTACCTCATTATCTGCTAGGGGTGTGGGTGTGAGTGTGGGTGTGGGTGGGTGTGGGTGTGGGTGTGGGTGTGGGTGGGTGTGGCTGTGGATGTGGACGTGGGAAAATAATGCAGTGCCTTGAATACCACACCACAGACCCTCACCCACACCCTTAAATATTTCGTAGAACAATCATTTTCGTAGAAAGTTTACATATTGTTATATTAACTTGAATTTGAAACAATATTAAATCGCTGTATTCGATCGTTTCCAAAATCGACAACATATAGATTGCCTTGTCGATCAAATGATAAATCCTGAGGATAGCTGAGCTGTCTTGATTCATCGTCTTCATTATTTCCATCAATAACGATTGTGCCTCGTTTAGCTTCTTTGAACCAACACATTATTCGATTATTTATATAGTCTGCTACATAGACAGTACCTGATTTATCAGCAATCACTCCACGAGGACTAGCCAATTGAGATAGATCATTCCCTATGCCATGACCACCAGCAACGATAATCCCCTGAGTTGCACCCTTTATCCATTTTATCACACGACGATTATGTTCATCTGATATGTAAATTGAATAGTCTTGGTCGACAAAGAGATACCCAGGACCATCGAGTTGATTCAAGCGGCTACCTTGTCCATTACCTCCTGCCACTACTACTCCACGAGGATCTCCTATTATCCATCGTCGAACTTCAGATGTCTTGAGATCAGAAGTATAAAAATACCCGTTATTATCCATTGCTAGTCCTGTGCATACAATATTGGAGATGATTGTTTGTCCACTAGTACCATTTCGACGAGGCCATCGTACTATTCGGTTGTTTCCTTGATCGCAGATAATGAAACAATCATTCTCTTTATTAATAACTATATCTGTTGGTCTACTCATCTGATCATCTTGGTCTCCTGACCCATTTCCACCAGCTACGATTTTACCATTTGTCGTTCCATATTTGCATTCAATAATCCGCTGATTAAAAGAATCAGCTATGTAGATTGTCTCTTCATCGTCATCAACACATATACCCATTGGATGATAGAGTTGATTCAATCCATTCCCTCTTTGATTGCCTCCACATACTGTGATACCATTTTGTGACCATCTTGTGTTGTCATTAACTTCTACAATGCAACCAAAGATAATGATAACAAAAATTTTTGTTTTCTTCTCTTACTCAATATACATGTCAACATAATTGTCAGTCAAAAATCTCTTATAATTGACTCTAGATAGTTTTTTATATCAAATGTAATATAAAGACACACTATGAAAAGTTATTTGACTATCTTGAAATAAAAGCATCTAGTTAAAGAAAATTTATATAGTTGATTTGATTAAAAACAGCAAACATTTTTCAACAACTTTTCTACGATATTTCACAAGATTATAAATGCCAAATGAACTTACTACTGCAGTTGATGTGTTAACATAAGTAGTTTTGATTCTTGGCGGGTTCTAATATGTGATGATGTGTTAAGCTCATTGATTTACTGAACAAGTTGATTCTTCTATCGATTTAAATCCTATTTGGACAAGCTGATTGTCTTGATGACATCACTTCAACTGATCAGTTAATTTATTCAACTCAATTCCTAGGTCAGTTATATCTTTTGTTCTATATTTTAGTAATAGTTGTCTGGCTTTATCTGCTGTTTGTCGAACTTTTTCAATTGAATCGTGTTCCCAATCATTAATTTCTTGTACTAAAATTTGATATTTTGGAGTTCTGATATTCGTTCTTGAAATGTTTATAACAAAATAATTTCGCACAACCTTCATATTTGGATATTTCTTTTGCTTTTTCACATATATTACATGTTGTTATTGCTGCCACGTGTTGCATATGCCTTTAATAAAGTCGAATGCTGAGATATAAAAAGAAAAAAGTGTGCGAATAAGAGAAAAACAACAACATTTTCTCACTTTCGTATGTCAATAAAGATCATAGTAGCTTAACATGCAAGGACAAAAACACGTATCATTTTTTAGAAAGTTGGCAAAACTAAAAAAATCATTTTCAACGAGATAAGAGTACGGATGTAGGTCCAAGCGTTACATTCACCCCTACCCTTTGAGTGAAGAGATGTCGCTGGTAAAACGTAAAAATTCGGACAATTTCATTTATTTATCATTTATTAAAGGAAACGAATGTTCATTGTATTGCAGTGGGCTTTTTTACTGTTTTAATTGCTTGGATAATATTGAGACCGTTCTCTTCTAAAACCTGATATCGAGTTCTTTTTCGACTATTATTTTCATTGTGCTTCATGTTATCGCGGTATATCAGCCAGATGCCGAACAAACAAAGAGGAATGTTATCAGCAGCAAATAAAAGTAACTTTTATTATTTGATAATAGTTACATAGACAACATAAATGCGGAGCATGTTGAATTTTTTCAAACCAACTAAAACAAATACCGTCATTGAAGCAGATCGTATGTTGAGCAGCGATGAGTGCACGCCATTATACCCGAGTGGAGTGCAGGATGAATGTATGCAACATCTAACGACAACAATGGGTGCCACTACTGATAGCCGTCCTCGACAACCTGGATTCCTTCTCTTCGTGATACCAACATTTGTCAAACAAAAAAAAAGCATTCCAGTTAGTCCCCTCGACTGAACTATGCGGTTCGAAATGAATCGTAACTGATGATGGCGAGAGTTATAGTGCGGTGGCAATAATCCCACTAGTCATGACACAGCTGAAAGGATTAAAGGAACAAGTATGTAATTTGGTACCTATGCTACTTCAAAATGGAGTTCTTGTTAATGACACTATTGATTGCATCAATCACCTGGATATTATCTATCTTTCATTCTATTCGAATAAGTTACCAAATAACGTTCGTGATACCATATTCGCCAAGTACAAAGCACTGGAGTTGCCTAGAACGTCGTTTCGAGGTAATGCACAGCTTGTCCTACACGAAAACTATAACAAGACTATATCCAATGTTGACACAAGCGAGTATGTGCTCAAGGACAATCGATTCAATCTACCTAATGGTTTGAAAAATAGTCAATCATATCCTCATTATGCCGATATATTGTATCTTGTTTTGCGTCTACTCATTCATTCGTTAGTGCATAATAACAAAGGGAATATCATTCAGTTTTGGACCATTTGCAAGGAACATCCGACAATAAAAGATCCATTCGAAACGGATTTGGATGTCACACTCCTGGCAATGTTGGATACGATCCAACTTGAATATAATGGCGTAGTAACAATAACATACAGCTCGACGAAAACTTCCCTTGATATGCTTTGCCATCGCCTGGCTGATACGCTATTTCAAAATATACAAAATCAAGAGATTTGTCGATCGACACCAGATACTTTGAACCTGACACTTAATTCAACTCCTGATCTGACGGAGAAACTTCAAGATATCCTAACTCGTTTGGATATAATGCTGACTAAGCGAATATGTATTTCATCCATCGTGCTACCCGAATCATTTTCTGTTTGGAGTTATATCAAGTCAGCATTAACAGGAATTTTGTTAATATTTTTGGTCCGGTAGTATTTATGTACTTCGGAATTCGAAATTTGCGCAAAGAGTGTTCTATCAAACGAATAATTAAAAGCTTGTACTGTACATTATAATCATGTTCTTGCACTACATTCCGATTGTGAATCTTATCCTGTACTATGCGTACGATTTACGGAGTATCACAGATCATCCTATACGAATGTATGCGACAGTTGTGCTCGGTATATTCCCCGGGCTGATCTTTGGTCTTATAATTGCCGATGGAAATTTTGATAGTCCATTTCATATAGTCAGACCATTTCAATAGATATTTGACTATGCAAAAATTCGAACATTGAACGTACGGTAAAAGCCATTGCGATTCTGTGATTCAAAGAATCCAAATCAGATGCAAAAGTGCGTCTTATATGTCGAAGACAGAACCATGGAAAACAAATTTATTTCAAAACTCTTCGGTGAAACGATAGATCCATATTGGTTTACATTTGTTGATATGTTTTATGAGGCTATTAAGTCTCTATTTCGCAATCCAAGAAACAACGTGCGAAATATACTCTTGTTAATCTTCATCTGTCTAATATACATGGTCTCCATGGGTATCTCTCTTTTATCCCTAGGAACGGAGATGATCTCGAATAGCACAACAACAACCGATATAAGTACCCCTCGATCATCCAATATCTTGTTTTATTCTCTTTTGCATTATGCTACTACGGAACAGATCATTGTCCAATTGGTATACTTTTTACATCACCTGCACTTTATGTTCTATTTATCGGCAAGCGTCTATTTCTTTTGGCAATCGTACAAATTACTAAAACATATCTTCGCTAGTGTTAGTGAGTTTGATAATATCAATAAGAAGGCACCTTATTTTTTCGACGTTACGCATCCGAATTCACTGCAGTTCATTGTGGCATCAATGAGATCTGAACATCGACGAGTGAAAAGTTCATGCGCACCACTACTGACAATACATTATGGCCTGATTGTAAGCACTGGTCTCGTTGCCACTGGTGTTATCTTCTATTTCATTTTGTATCATAAAATTACGAATAAGGCTGTCATATTTTGTATGTATCATGCGATTGTCTTCGCCATTTTTCCGATCATCATAATCCTACAAGTTCTTTTCATAAACAGAGTTATTACAGACGAGCTTCCTCATTTATTACGCACAAAAAAGCGACATCTAGAAGAATTGATTGTGCAACATAAAATGAATAAATCGAGGTACAAGGTATCAATGGAAAAACTAATCGTATCACGAAATTCACTCACTGATACGCTTGCTGATTCGGAATTTACACGAGATAGCAATACAATCAAAATTTTTAACTATCCCACAATTGATACTTCGTTGTTCATTAAAATTGCCGTATTAATATTTACCAATTTAGCTGCATGGATTGTTTCGGTGATCAAAAGAATGTCAATGTGTCATTGTCTGTACCAAATAATCAAATATGTTTGCTAATCTTTTATAATAAAGGACCTTTAGTTCAGTATGATCTTGCCAAAATAAATTATAGATAAGATTTTCAGCAAGATGCAGCTTGCAGAAATATAAAACTTAGCGACTGTCTACATTGTCCTAAGGCATTTAGCAATGATTGTAGCACAATACTACTAATTTTCGTTTTTATTCCGCAAGTAAGAGTGCCTTCAAAGTTGCGAAAAGAATTTATAAAATTTTTAGATGCGTTAAGTAATGGAGACAGTAGCGGAAATAGACGTTGACGGAATTAGTGTGGTATTGGTATCGATATTACTCTCGAAGTGTTGGCACTCGTCTGAAAAGTATTATATTGTTCATTTTAGTTATAACTAATTAATTGAAAAGCGAACATTTCGTCTGATATTTGCGATTCAGTTCTTGTGTGGACTAACAAAGATTTACCAGTCAGGAGATAAACACGAATCAATCTAGGAAAGAAGAAAAATGGTTGTTTATTCTTATAATTAATTGTGGTTATTATTTTGTATTTGTTTTGAAAGAAATTCGTTTGAATAGTTATCAGTGAATTGTTTCAAATCTTCAATATTGTAAAATTGAATTCCTTTTACAAAATAGAATTTTAAAATATCATTAGATAAACTTGGATTTTGTTTTTTTTAAAACTTTATATTATATTTTCGAACATAAATTTTAATTTATCAAAAAAAAGAGCAAGAGCTTAACTATCGATACTCAAGCGTTTATCTCGCTAATAAAAATCATTCGTGTTAAGGGCATATTCTTCCTTATAAATTATGTGTGCAAGCTAACTTTCTTATTCCTTCTCTTATACGTATCTGTTCTTTAATTCTTCTCGTTCACTTGATATTGTTCTTTCATGTCCATTTCTCATGGTCAATAAACATATATGTTGACCTTTTTATTTTATTCTGTCGCTCATCAACCTTCTATTGCATTGTTTATAATACGTGGTAACGCTATCATTATCATCATCATATATATATATACATGTATTTCCTTTATTCATATTCAGAATCGTTAGTGCTGGCATTCTCTTCATTTCAATTCTTTCACACTTTCATTCTTTTCTTAATTCACTTCTTTTGTGCTTTTCTTTTCTTCATTGAAATAAAATTGAACTTAAGTTCAAGAAAACACAAGTTACAATTCGTAGATTAGTCTGACTTATTATACCATCAACATACTTTAATTTCTATGATATAAAAATATAGA